TGCCTCAAATAAAGGTAACAGTGTCGTGCACCCCCTTCAAAAGGGTTCTAGCAAATATGGCCAATGTGAAACCAAGGTACTTGAATACTCTGTCTTACATATGCAGCTCTTTCAATAACACATGTGATGTAACCCCTCCCTTATCCCTTTCTCAAACCCCTTTCTTCTCTGTTGAATTACCACTTGTTTTTATGTTACTGTTACTGCCTTTGTAAACTCTTTGTAAACTACCTTTTTAAAATTTATATTCGGTGAATGTATAATATTTGAATACGTTGAGAAACCCACTGTTATACCTAGTCATTGTCAATGCAATATATAGCAAATATGTGTTTCCTTACCTCATGAACATTGTATTGCCTACTCAAACACTGAATGTATGCTTGAATAATATATATATATATATAAATAGCAACAGATATTAGCTGCACTCACGGACTGTAGTAAAACTTCAATGCTTTATTGGATTCTGTTAAAATAGATCGACGTTACAGTCCTCCTTGTGGACTTTCCTCAGGATCAAACATAACTTGCCAGTAAAACAGTGGTCAAATATATACATACATAGTGAACATAAGTGAATATGGGTGAATGTTAGCATACCCCAGGTGTTGTGGATCGCCATTGGCGTTCTCCCGAGTCCTGGGCGCATGGGTGTGGGGACTCCAACCCCCTCGTGTGACGTGATGCCATGTGGGCGTGATGACGGTCGGCGCATCTGCACGGCAACGTTGTTAAACAAACTGACGATGCCTGTGGATGCTGCCGATACCAGTGGATAAGTGTACTATAGACATCCAGTGCTTTAACTAAGAATTCAGTGAAAGGATGCTAGGATTAATAAAGTGCATAGATATTGTAGTGATGCTATCATTAGATCGCTGTTTGAAGTGAGTTCACTTCATCCCCGCATAATATTTAAATCAGTTAGCAAGTGTTATGGACATGAAAAATTACTAGCATTTTAACACAATATTTTTGTTTTTACGCCCATAACTCCCTAAGTTTATGTTCACCATTTAACATATATTCCTTGCATGAATTCCAGTTAACAAACCAGTTGAACTAGTTCAGAATCATGAGGCAGGTTGATGGGCAGGGAATAGGCTGGAAGGAGTGAAATGTTACTATGGTTACTATGTAAGCTGTTTTGATGTAGATTTTTGCAGCTGGGTTTTGGAGTGCTTTGGGGATAGCAGCAATGTAGCAGTACAGGGGCACAGGCAGCCTTACTAATTTTTTTAGGCTGCAAGTATGTGGTCTAGGCCCATTTATTTTATCCAGGACATGGAGTTTGATCTATCCAGAGCAGCAGAGACCTTTATATCCATTCCATCTAAGATCCTGGGATGTTAAGTATAAAACTGTATAATTTTTATTATAGTTTTTATACATGTGTTTAGAGTGAAATACTTGGGTAGCCTTTGAGATATTTTAACTGCAATCATGGGAAATATATGATTAGTACTGCAAAAGATAATTGTCTACTTAGTATTACAAGTGTTTAGCTAGAATATGTGTAATATTTACTTTAACATCTTTTTATTAAATATTATCTTTGGCTGCACGTTGAGTGTTTGTCATTTGGAGGTTAACTGTTAGGATATATATATGCCAAAATACTTGAAGCAGCTAATAATCTAAATTATAGTTATACAAAATTAAAGGGTTAGTTTTGAATCCTTGCAAATATATGTGGGCTTCCAGTAGCTTTGTTGGTTTCTATCGTTAGTGTAACTAAGTTACATCAGGAAACATGGCTGGTTGCCATCTTGATGCTCTTTAAAGCACATGGTCGGCAGCCATCTTGGTTCTCCTGAAAGTTTAAAACAGCAGTTATTGTGAAACCCTTTAAATTGCACAAACTAATTCATCCAAAACCATGAGCTACAATAGCAAGATAGAATCATAGCAGGATATCTACTATATATTCACTTTATGGTGCTATTTAAAAGATGATCTATCAAAACAAACAACAATTTTGTATCATGTGATGCCTAATATTTTCTAGAGATATACATGAATTTTGAAGGACTATTCATAATCCTGATAATAACTTTACTGCCCATTTTCTATATATAATTAGAACTTAAAAATTAATAATTTTTTATAAGAATCAACCCTTGTTCAGTTTAGAATATGATGTCTATTAATTCTTTTACGGCTTGTACCTAACATGTTATTTTACACTTCTCAATATATTTTAGAGCCTACGTGAATTCTGAATTGACAACGACAACACAGAATTTTTGGATGCCTTGCTCATTGATTGACCTTTAAAATTCAGTTAATACCAGAAAACTGCAAGATGTAAGGATTTTTTTGGCACTAAAGTAACATGTAGGGTTTATTACTGTGCTGCATTGCAAGAGTAGCTAATGTGTCTCTAAGTATTCTTAAACTAAAACATCCATGTTCCTCAAAAGTTCAATAAAGATCATAGAAGTGATACTTCAGTAACAGCTGGAGAGCTTCATATTAGATAGAACTATATTATTAATAAAAGGTACAAAATTAACGGAATTCTCAATTTAACTATCAATCACGGTACATGAATTCATAGTACTACACAAGGTTCACATTTAAAAACATTGTTTGACCTTTTGAAAGCAAATGAAGCACAGCAATGGTTATAGGAATTGCTTTTCTGTCGTCAGAGCATAGAAGACACAGCTCAAAATATAAACTAATCATTCTAAGAACTAAGATTCCTATTAAGATTTACATAATATTTTAGAAACACATACATATTCATTAGAAGAACAGTGGATAATGAATTGCTAAATATTTATTTATACAAGTACAGAAACTGGTACGGTTGACTGGTAGAAAAAAAAAGGGTCTTTGGAATCCTGAAATCCAAATGACAAGCATTGTTTAAACATAAAAAAAACAAAATAAAAATAATAATCTCTCCCCTTCTAATTAGTGTGATAAAGTGAAGGCAGAGAGGCCTTTAACATTTAACCCCAGGGGAAGTACGTGTTGTATGTGTGGTGTGCAACACAAAGCTACGTTTAGTTATGGGCCCCTGGGTGGAGCATTTGGAGAGCAGGGTGGGCCAATGCTCCACTCCTCAGTTTATACACAACTGGGAGAAATAAGGTCCAGGCCAGAGTTTTTTGGAACTGTCTCCAACCCACTGCTCAGCTGCAGATAATCAGCTGTAGCAGTGGGAATAAACCCCTCCCTGCTAGGGTAAACAACAGGCACAGTCCTTTTATTTTCATATAATCCAGGCACTTTATTTGTAAGTCCACACAGGAGACAGCAGCAAATGAAAACATAAATATAACACAAATCCCTATAAACAAAAACCTAGCTCGTCTGAGCTCTTACTAACTTCAGGTTCCCTATCTCTCGGGGTTAAACTAGAACAAAACAATATTGGTTTCACCAACCTAATGTCTTTGTCAGCTTTCTGCACTCCAGTGCTAAGTCAGCCTGTTGCTTTCCTTTCTACACTCCCAGAGCTCCAAGCCAGCCTTAACTGCTTTCCTTTCTGCACTCCCAGTGCTCCAAGCCAGCCTTAACTGCTTTCCATTCTGCACTCCCAGTGCTCAATCTCCTTGACTCTCTCCTATCTGCTTCCAGGGAGGAAGCCAGCAATCCCCCTTTACCTGCCTAGCAGGTGGGGGGTTTATTCCCACTGCTACAGCTGATTATCTGTAGCTGAGCAGTGGGTTGGAGACAGTTCCAAAAAACTCTGGCCTGGACCTTATTTCTCCCAGTTGTGTATTAACTGAGGAGTGGAGCATTGGCCCACCCTGCTCTCCAAATGCTCCACCCCAGGGGCCCATTACTAAACATAGCTTTGTGTTGCACACCACACATACAACATGTACTTCCCCTGGGGTTAAATGTTAAAGGTCTTTCTGCCTTCACTTTATCACATTAGCTTAAAATAAACAGTGCAGTCAGGACAGCAGACCCGGTTCCTCTGTAATTTTTAAGCTGTTAAAGTAGGAACGTTTTATTACTTGTTTGTGTTTACATTAAAGGGATACTGTCATGATTGGTAGGGAACCTAACACACATACAGCACACAACAGACAAAATTGCAATACCGGTCCTTAGTAGACATGTGCAATTCGATTCAGTCCGAATGTAAATTTGGTTTAATTTCTGGCAATTCGGACATTTGGAAGCAAAGTGCGGAAGTCCCCGAAGTGCCGATTTGCCAAAGTGCTGAAGTGCTGAATATCTGAAGTGCCGAACCGAACTAAATGGGTGAAGTGCCGAATGGGCGAAGTGACGAATTGCCAAAATGCCAAACCAAACTGAACCAAATGGCCGAAGTGCTGAATTGCTGAAGTGCCAAATTGCTGAACTGTCGAATTTCGGAAGTGCCGAAGTGCTTCAGATTTCTGAAAAGTGGCAAAACAAGAGAGGGAGGGGAAATTATGTGAATGAAGACAAGGGTAGGGGTAAGGGTAGGGTTAAGGCAGGGTTAGGGTAGGGTTAGGGTAGGGTTAGGATAGGGTTAGGATACAGTTAGGGTTAGGATTAGGGTAGAGTTAAGGAAAGGTTAGGGGTAGGGTTAGGGGTAGAAGTAGGGTTAGGGTAAGGGTAGGGTTAGGGTAGGGTTATGGTTAGGGGTAGGATTAGGGGTAGGGTTAAGGTTCGGGAGCCCTACAGATGTTCGGAATTCCAAAGTCACGAATTGACGAAGTCCCAAACCGAAGTGCCGAAGCTCAGAATTGCCGATGTCCCATAATGCCGAAGACCCAAATTTCGGAATTGCCAAACCGAACTGAACTGCCGAAGTCCAGAATTGCGGAGGTCCCGAATTGATGAAGTCCCAAATTTCGTAAGTGCCGAACCGAAGTGCCAAAGTACCAAATTGCTGAAGTGCAGAATTTTTTTTCTTAGTTTGGTAATCAAATAATCAGAGTATAACGCGCTATTGGGCTAAACAATGACCACAACAGGGCACTGAGGCAAGTTGTAGGTTAGCTTACATACACACAAAGTGTGTCTGATTGGCTAACCTCCAATTAGTGTTAACCACAACATGTGTGAAGTGTTTCACATAACCAGGTCTGGCACACATATAAGGATGCTGCTCTGGAGTATGCAGCGTCAAACACACTGTCAGTCTGGAGCAAAGTGGCAGGGACAGCCATACGCCGCGGACAGGGACCATATGGTGTCGCTCTCGGTGACGCGGTATGCAAGGTCACCGCGAGCAGCACGGTGGCAGGGGACCTGACAGATACAATTAGCAAAAAGTGTAATTTTCTAGTGAGGGCAGAAGAAAGATTCCTACTTCTGTATGTGACATCATAACTCAACTTGTGCAACCACAAATTCTCTGAAAAAGCAATGTTTACATTGAAAAGCCTGCAGGGACATGCTACAGACACCAGAACCACAACATTAAGCTGTAACTGTTACAGTGATTAAAGTGTCCCTTTAAATTGCACACCTCCCTGTTCCATTCTGTAAATTTGTAGTAACACCAGCTAGTTTATCATTTCACGGCTTCAAATCGTTTCTGACGTTCTCAAACTGTGCTTAAATCATATGATTTTATTAAACTGGTCCAGGTTTTCTTTGCTGACTTTACTTGGCTTTTTCAGATTCCCACCCTTTCGGAAAAAAACTTGAGGAAAAGGGGAAATGTATAGCTGCAACCTGTGCTTTGCTTGAATGTTCTATGAGCACATTAAAAACACTTGGGGCAAATGTAACTAAGGCTTTTTCGTCAACAACATATTATGAAATAACATCAGATAGATCATCAGCAGACATATCAAGTAGTATGGATTTGTATGTCCTTTACTGCTTTCTAATAACACCTCCACTGAATCTTAATAGCTATGCAATAAATGATTCACTATGGAAAGTGACAAATGCTGCCTTTTGCTCATTGTGATGGATCACGATACTTTGCTTTGTTAATGATAATGAAATACTTGTTCGAGAATGGACTATATTCTGCAAGGAGTTTCACAGCCTCCAAAAGAGTACCGTGATTTTAATGACCTTCATCACATATTTCAGATACAGTTTATATGATTCAGTGTAGTAGTGCTTGGATTCCAATAAAAATATATTATTTAAAAATCAGAACAGAACTGGAATACTTGCGCATATCTAATGGAGGACTGATGAGTTGAGAATTGCACTTGATTGATTTTCTAACGTACATGAAGTCTTTTCTTGCAAGTACTTATGGAATTGACAGCTCTCTGTTGTTTTGAATTGAATCTACTACATCTGTTCCATGGAGCACATAAACAACCTGATTTGTAACACAACACAAAACGGATTTTTCATGCAAAGCTGAGTAGATGACTTTTTGAATGATAAACTAAATATAGCTTTAGACAGATTCTTCTTTCTCGTGAGAAACTAAAATTTTTGCATACATTTGTCACACTTGAGCAGAACATTTGCACTACTTGCAAAAAGTATTGAAGCTCTCCTTGTAGTTTCCACAGCAGCAGGCAAATAAAGTAGTATATAGTACCCAGATATGCTTTCCAAAATGTAGTAAAACCTGAGCAATGGGTGTTCTCTAATGTTGACCCATAAAGACACTGTTACGCTTTAATTATTTTATTTGTTCAATCCAAATTTGAGTTTTCTTCATGATTTGAACAACTTGCCTCATCAACAATTTGAATGGTTCGTCCTCCAGTGATACCGGTTTCTCTTGAAAATAAAGTAATTTTTAACTGTAGAAGCTTAGATATTTTGTGACTGCGCCAATTTGGTGTCTCCAGCCTCCTAATTCTGAGGGTTTTGGCATCTTAACCTATGCATCTGACCACTGAATCCATCATGTATGTACAATTATGAAAGGATGTCCAAGCAAACCAGACTGTGGCCAGAAATTATTCCAATCAGTGAGATTTTTTTTTTCCAAATAATGTATCTACAGAAATCATTAAAGTATATGGGAATTGTTATAGATATATCATTTCAAAGTTATTTTTGAATGGATTATTATCTGATTCTGATTCAAACAATTTAAATCAAGACCTTGGTGTCTCATACGCTAAACACTAAAATTTATATATCATGCTTAACAAAAAAAAACATCAAACATTTAAAATGCAAGGTAAGAGAGAATGCCATCGAGAGATGGAGAGATAGATAGATAGAGAGATAGACAGATAGATCAATAGATAGATAGATAGATAGATAGATTTGTATACAAAACTAAAATATATACAATTGTAGCGGACCGTTTTGCCCAAAAGAGGTTAAAAACCGTTTAGGCGATATTCCCCTTTTTCAGCTGCACCGACAGCTACTGCAAGCACCAATCTCCTGAACTGCAAACCCACGAATTCACCAACTCCCGAACTGCATACCAAGGGAATACTCGAAACTCCCGAACTGGAGACACACGAATAGCTGCTAGCAGATGAACAGGAAAAGCCCCCAAGCAGCTTACACTCCTGGCAATCAGTCTCTAACAGCATACAGTAAATCTTCCCCCAATAATGAGACGACACTTCACTTTGAGGGTTAAGCAGGAACTGATTTACTGGGGCTAACTGCCCGGCTTTTATGCAGGTCTCCCACCTGGTAGACACTCCCCTAGGGGACCAAATGGGAGACTGGGACACATTTCAACCATCCCACAATGCATCACAATCCCTCCTCTCTGCCTTGGAGATAATTTGGGAAGTAATTCAATTACAGAGGCAAAACTCCATTAACCACATGGCAGAAAACAAACAGTAAAAGACATAAAATTACCTACAGTTACATTCAGTGCATAAAACATATATGTTCTACATATCCCCAGATAGCTCAGGTCTGAGCGCACATTATTAAGCGAATGGCGCTCAGACCACATGAATACAGGGTATAGGGATTCCTATCTGGGGCACAACACACTGAAACAAAACTACCGAACACCGGGCCGTTCGTGCACTTTCACCGAACAAGAAGGGAGGTCGGTGGCTTCAGCGGTGTTCGCGCAAAACTGTGTCCGATTTCAGTTCCATGAATTAAGCGTCGAACACCGCTGTGCATTCACATGTTTAAAATGGCCGTGACCTCGTGTTCATGATACAAATGGCGGCCACCCAGTACTCGTCAATTAAGCTGCGGTTAACCGCAGCTTCAGGGAGGTTAATTGCCGGCACACTCCAGCTCCCAGGTGGTCTATTCATTTGTGCGGTTGTTCGGTAGATTGAATCTACAAAACACCCAGCAGAAAAGCACGAATAAGTCTTTTCTGCAGGGAAAAAAGATGTCTTTTAACATGGGGCCATAGTCCAAAGGCAGCAGGCGAGCAACCAGGCTTCTCCAGTGTACAGTGGCGAGGTTGGTTTCGCCACAACAATTATCTCAGAGTTTGCCTGGCATTTACAAATGTGTAAAATGTGAATGCTTGGGAAATATAAGGGTTTGGGTTTTTTTTTTCAAATGTTTCATTTTTTTCTTAATAATGTATTTTTTTCTTAATAATGCATTCATACAAAGTGTGAGTTATATTTGATTAACCAGGAACTCCTTAAAATTAAATATATTTTCTATAAAGTGAAGAAGTGTTTTAACATAGAACTAAGATTTCACAAATTCTCTCAGGGGTTAACATCACTGTATGCTGGAAGCTATCATAAAGAAATGTGTGCTTTAAAAAACATTGCATACAGTTTGTTACCATAGAGACAAGGAGACAATGAGAAACATTATGAAAGATTGCTCTTCAACACACACACACACACACACAATATTTTTCTTTGTGGAGAGTAATGGAGAGAAACTGCAAAAATCCATATACAAACTATTACAATGTAAGAACTACAAAAACAACAGTAATAATAATAATATTAATAATAATAATAACTAAACAGAGGGGACCTCTCTTATCCCCACACATCTGTCAATAATTGTCAATGTATTAAGGGGGAATGCAGATGTGTGATGCACTGTAGGGATAAGCAAAAAATTGTATTTTAGAATAACCACATTTTAAACCAATAACACTTTTTTTTCCTTACATTTTCACATGGCCCTCAGTGGATTTCCTGCTGGTTTGCATCTTACCTTTAAATACCTTCCTGAAACAGTACATCTTATTATGGCATTTTCCATTCCCTTTCCTCCTCCTTTCTTGTGTTTTACCTAACTTGGAGCTACCTTAATTCTCTTTTATTACGTATTCTACTTATTCTTATTTATTCTATGTTTGATTTGGTCATTGTTTAAATGCAACTCTATATTTTAATAAAAAAATATTATAATAATAATATAAAATAAAGAAAATCAAGACTATAATTTGACTTAATTACAATTATTTATATAGCGCCACAGCACTGTACAATAGTTAAAACAAGACAAACAATTAATTCTAATAAAATGCACAAACAAACTAAGAATCTCAGATGATGAGTGGCAAATACACAGAGGTAAATGACTGAATCAAATGTACATGGTATACCTCAAAGGATGGGAGGGGTCTTTGGTTTGGAGAAAGCACGGTAGGTGGAGAGAGCAGACAAAGGTTGTAAGGTATGGGCAGTTTAGGGGAGAGTTCATAGGTTTCCCCAGAGAAGTGCGTTTTTTTTTTAAAGAACTATAGAGATGGGGAGAGTCAAATATGTCATTGGAAGGCATTCCATAAGAAGAGGGTGGCCTTGCTCAAGTCTTGCAGGTGTGAATCTGGCATGTAGGTACAAGAAAGGGATAGTAACAGATCATTGACTGAGCAAAGAGACTGAGCTGAAACATATTTGCTAATGATGGAAGAGATATGACAAGGGGCAATTTTATGGAGAGCTTTGTATGTAAGCTAAGAACTTTGAACAATATCCTAAACAGGAGCCAGTATAGAGACTGACAAATAGCGAGGTTTGAGAGTTTTGGGATAAAAGGAAGATGATTCTGACAGATGACTTCATTGTGGACTGCAGCAGGGACATCTGGGCACTTTTTAGGCCAATGAGCAGAGGTTGCTAGAATGAAGGCAGGAACCAATAAGAGCATAGACATCATTTTAGTTGCATCCTAAGTGAGAAAGGGACAACATTATAAATGTTTTAAATTAAAAACAACAGGATTTGGATCAGGGTATCATTATCACAGAGGTGATTTTGAAAGCCATAGGATGACATTAGGTCACTAAGACAAGCAAAGTCAATTGAGAAAAGGAGAGATCCCAGTACAGAGCACAAAGGAACAAAAGGGAGGAGGAACCAGAACAGAAGACATTGAATGATCAATTAGAGAGGAAGGAAGAGAACCAGGAAAGATCAGTGTCACTGAAGCCAAGGTTGGGATGAAAGATCAGGAGAAGGGGGTGGTCAACAGTTTTGAAAGTGGCAGAAAGTTCACGAAGAATAGTCTTTGGATTTTGCCCTCACTAAATTAGTTCACTAGTCACCTTGGTCAGGGAAGCCTCTATGGAATGTTGTGAGTGTAAGCCAGATTGAAGAGCATTCAAGTAAGGAGTAGGAGTTCAGATCGTCTTGACCAATCTAGTACATGACACTGTTGCCAATGTCAATTAAAGGGTGAAAGTTATACTAAATTTAAAAATTGTGTTAAAAATTGCTTTCAAAGCATCATGGGAAATGAGATGCACATCACTTGCAACCATACGCAGCGGTAATGTCTTTTTATAATACACTTATTATTCTGTGCTTTGCCTACAACTACTCTTAAAGGGGCAAACCAGGCACTGCACAGATCTGATGCAGTGTGTAAATTAAATCCACAACAAGGGTTTCAAGTAGTTCAGCTTTCAGCTTTTGTGTCTTTTTTTGTATTATAATGCATCTGTATAATACGTGAAAAAAATTGAGCCTGCTAGAATGCCCCTTTAAGTACATATTCAGCATTTTAAATGTCATGTAGAACTGATGTGGTGTGACAGGTGGCGCTATGGTTCATCCTTACAAAATGACCAGTGTAAAATTGATATAATTAACTGTATTTTCCAAACAACTGACATTTAGGTAAGATAAACAAGAGAATGTCAGAATTAATTATTGTTGATTAAGGGTGTTTACAGTGGATGACAATTATATGACAGAAATTGGACT